GTGATATCATGATACATGATGAAAAGAAAGACAAATGATTGGTCCATGTATTATCATGAGCCCTTGATAGAAATGTCAGCATCCGTCTATTTTCAAATCGTGTCGAAGATACCGAAAGACATTAAAAGTCCATTTAAAACAGATTTTGGAGCGAGAAAATGTACCAAAGCTCTGGGAACTTTGTCAGCATGAAAAAGCTAATATCGAAAGAACTGTGCAGAAAATTAACTTACGTACGATTCGGCCTTCGGTCTCAAGGAAGGCGCTTCGCGCCGTAAATAAACTACAAGACCCTACAAGAACGGGTAAATCCAGCCTCTGGTTCCCAGGGTAAATGCACATTGAAACGTAATTTATAACTTAGCCAGATCTTTTATTCTTGCATATGCAAAGTGTGAAATCGAAATTATTCTCACGAAATATTATCTAGATAATTTAAGAAGTAAGCTCATTCAACTTAACTTAAGCTTAAGCTTATTCAACTGCTGCAACTTTGCATTTTTTTGGCCGATGACTTTTTTTTGCTGTGGGAGTCTTAATTCCTTCTTGAAATATAATTCAGACTGTTTTGGATGTCACAAAAACCTCATCCAGTAATTCTCTCTTATTGTCAGTATATAAGTATTACTGCAGGTTATAATCTCTTGAATTCAAATAAAATAAAATTCTTGCCATTTCCTGATAATCACGTCAGTCAATTTTCCTATTCATATCATTTTGTTCACTTAAAATACAAGTTCAACTAATAGTTCAATGTGAAATGTAAATAATAGAATGTTATAGTGATTAATTTGGCAGGCCCTTACCAATGAATTTTGAAAATCAATTCTATTCTTTTCACCTTTATATAATAAAGTGCTATGCAGTACACATATTTGATGGTTGTTAATAATGCATGTAGAGTCAAAACATTTTTTCCTTTAAAGGCTGATTCCTTTAAAGGCTGAACTACATGATGCAAATGCGGCATGATTATTGTCCATTTCTTATCTTGCCAGTCAATTTTAATTCCTTTTCCTTTTGTTCATTATACACGTTCAACTAGTTAAGTTTTTTGATTTAGAAGTCACAAAAATGTTTTGCCATGATAACCGAGTCAGGGTGGGCCAGTTTATACACATGATACAAATTGGACATATTTCTTGTCCATTTCTTATTTAAGAAATGGATCTTGTTTAGCTTTAATTTGAAAGAGACATATTATTAGCACACAATTGCTTGAGCCTGTTGGATGGTTATTTTCCACTTCTACCAGTTACCCTCATACATGCAGAAATATTGGTAGTTTCACCAAAAAGGAACATTTTTACATTATCATGCCAGTCGATTTTCCTTTTCTTTTCTTCCTTTTCTTTTCGTTTCGTTCACTATACAAGTTGAAGTGTTAGTTGTCTGCAGTGCTAGAGTCAAAAAAATGTTTTGCCATGATAACCGAGTCAGGGTGGACCACTTTATACACATGATACAAATGGGACATATTTCTTGTCCATTTCTTATCATGCCAACCAATTTCCCATTTCTTTTGGTTTCATTCACTATACAA